GTAATTTTCGTCTTTCTGAAATTAGGGAAGATTGCCCCATAATTTTGTGATTAATATAGTTTGAGAAATTTTAAATACTCGTATTCGGAACACTTCGGGTTCGTAATTATTTCGTTTGATGTGATTTCATTGGCTTTTTAAACCTAATTTATTATATATTTTGAAGTGGCCCTTCCACACTTACGCTTGCTATTAAATGAGATTTCAAAATAAGTAGGCTCTAATTGTTTTAAATGCTCACTCCAATTAATGTATAAATAGTTGAAGAAGAATTTCTAGATAACTAAAAATGCATATTTTTGATGATATAGATTATCAATTTTTCTTTACATTTTTACGCGGCCTCAAAAAATTCGTTAAGCATTGGGTCAAAAAGTCATAAGGTAATTCAAATCTTAGGGAACAAAGAAAGTTCATTTTATGGACACAATTTTCCGAAATTCTCACCATCTTATCCATAGTCTATACCTACCTATTAAGAGACATTGCTACTAATGCCTGTTGCCATCGTTCTTTTTGCTAATATCTATTTATTTATTTCAAATGGCAGACGTTTTGATAGTTATCATTAACCCTTTAGCTGAATTCGGGTTTCATAGAGAGGAGGAGAGACATCGAAGTGACAAAAAAACGAGATGGGGATAGAATAAAGATTCACAGATTTAAAGGAAACAGACAGATACAAAGTCAGAGACTAGGTAAGATAAGAACTGTGGAACGGGTCGAATATGACATGCAGTCGGGCCATGGTAGTTTGAAGTCAGAAGTCAACTACCGGTTGATAGACTTTTTGTCGTATGAGTATACTTTGTCCAGGGTGCACCACGTGGAGGTAAGTCTATCACACACCCCCCATTTGCTAATAGCATGGGGAGTGTAGACAAAATGGCGTCAACCTAACGTAATAACTGAGAGGATCATAAAAGGCTACTGGAAATTTCACATTAAACAGGTAATAATATTCATATTTTTAATAAATAACAAAATCAAACTTCATTTTCTGTTAACAGGATGCATCACCATTTATCGTGTGCATGACCTACGCCTTCCAAACTCCCGAAAAACTTTGTTTCATCCTTGACCTAATGAATGGCGGCGACCTCAACTACCATCTGAGTCAACGCGGAACTTTCAGAGAGGACGAGGGGAAATTCTACGCAGCAGAAATAATTCTGGGTCTCCAACATATGCACGAAAGAAACATCGTCTATAGAGACTTAAAGGTATGCATTTTGCATATTGGTTATGCTGGTTCTGTTTTTCTAACTTTTAAAATCCCCATGGGGGGATAAATAGTAGGGCGATTGAACTGGTGCGTGAAGCGGAAAATACTTACTTCTCATAAATTAGGAAAGAGTGCCAATTTAACAATGGAGTCACAATTGACGCTTGTTGCTGATAAGGCTCAGTTTGAGAGTTGTGAATAATCGCTGCCATCTTTTTCACCTCACCTGACTATTTTTAACACGTCAATTATTAAAAGGTTCATTTTCTCTTTGCATGTATTGTACAAAATCATATTAGACATTTGCAATTGCTTCAAATATATATTTTTTTTAAATTAAAAGGCAGGAGTTAGGATACCTATCGTTAGGCCTTTAGTTAACTTCAGACTTTACAGAGAAGAGGAACCTCAAAGTCATAGAAGGTCGAGAGGGGAGGAACAGAAGAGTGATTCAGAGATGTAAGAGAGGCAGATACAAAGATAGAGAAATTGGGAATAGCAAGTACTGCGGAAGTGGTGGAATATGACATACAGTGGGGTTATGGCAGTCTGAAGTCAGGAGTCAACTGCTGGTTTATGGATTTGATTGTTATATGAATATACTTTGGCCAGGTTGCTCCACGTGGAGGTAGGTCTAGCGCACAACCCATTGTTTTAGCTAAATAAGATCTTAAGTGTTCAGGATGTTTTATGTTTAAATTAAATCAGTCTTGGGACCTGTGCTAAAGATTGGTACTCAACGCAAGGCCATTTATAAAATAGCCAACAATTCAATACCTTTTGAAATAGAGCCCTTAGAGTCATTTAATGATAAGGAAATTACTTAGCCTAATACTGAGGATAATCCTATTAACTGAACTAATTACATACATTGTATTGAAATGTTACAATTATTTTTCAATACTTAAAATTAAATATCAATTGCTATAGATACAAGGCTATCTCAGTAACTGGTGTAATTTTCAATAGATTGAAATAGAATCGTTATATCCATTTACTCTGGCTACTTTGTCACATAGCAGAAGGCAAGTTCTATATTAGAATTACTACCTTTTAGTATATTTGGAAGCTATCGTTAATGAAATTAATCGTATTTAATTAGGTAGTTTACTACATTAGCATCCTATGGCACTATCCTCATTTAAAATTTGGCATTATATGCTAGAATTCCTGAATCAAAAGTTGTATTAAAATGTTATTTATTGGATTACGTGTAATTGGAAAAATTTTCAGGATTATTACTTTAAGGCATACCTCAATAATTTTGTTGTCTGCAAAACTTTGACTAGCTCATGTTTGATTTTACCTTTCTGTTCACTGGTCCATGGAATTAGCAATGCGTACTAAAATTAAAATTATTTACTCAAAATAACTTGTTGGGGGGCTAAAATATAGACCTTACAGAACATTAACATTATGAACTATTTTTAGAAGCAAATAGTGGGTTCTATAGCTTGTTTCCACGAAAATGGAGTTAGTATTTTAAGAACCGCTTATTTTTGAACAAGTTTAAAATATTCATTAATTTTTCTTTTAAGCAAAATAAAATTTGTTTCAATAATTTTTTCACAAAAAATTTTATACAAATCCGTATAAGCGAAATATTTTTTTTAATTATAAAGAAACACGCGATTTTGAAATCTATTTTTAACTTGGGATTTTCTTATGAGAATGGAAAAACAACATTCTTTTAGTTTAAGACGTGTGGTTTCTCATAAACATTGGCTTATTACAATATTTTGTAATTAGAATAGTCACCGTTGTCCCATTTCAAATAAGTCCTGTTCATCAAGTGGGGCAAAAATCAAAGCAATTTTTCAAGGTCGACTTTCCTAATTGAATATCCTCTAAAATAATTAATTTAGTCTGTATTTAATTACCATATTTGGCGTATCTAAAGAGTTTTTTACTAGAAAATTTTTCTTAGAAAGGAATCTTAATTGATTCCTCATAGAAATCTTTGACCAGGTACTTATGTAATTTCATCCAATTCAACTTAAATTAAAAGCAGACTTCCTGAATATGTAACTCAGAAGTATAAACTTGAGCTCATGACTAAGTTGGCTTATGACAAGTGCAGATATTTGCTGCATTCAGTTTATATGATCTACGAATATAAAATATCCTATATTTTTTATTTATTTATGTAAATGATAATATGATGTGAAAAGGTAACACTATGGCCTATCAAGTTGAATTATTCCACAATTTTAAAAGCTAATTAGTTCCCATAACATTCGCAAATGCATTTAATGTACATATCACCGATGAGTTTGACCCAATGCACCTTAACGCAGCAAATGCAATTCTAACTAAAGTATTGTGGATTTTAACGAATAATTACCCTACAGAAGAGTATAAATTTAAAATGTCAAATAACTAAGATCATCTTGCAATCAAAATTAAATTTTATCCTCTGGAAGATTAGGAAACATGGCAACAAACTATGTATGTCAAATTTGTCCACCTAAGCTGCCAAATTGGATTTTAAACTTGTTCCTTTCTTCTATTTTACCAATTATTTTATATGGTTGCTTTTCATATTTTTAAGGTGCGTATCTTTAAATATGTGGACAATTTTTATCAATTTTTTTGCTTTTTTGTTGTTTAGCTTCACTAAGCTCTGCCAATTTACACAGTTTTTTTCGCTGTCTCAACTTTGCTTTGCAGAGTCTGTAAGCCAAGAAATATCCTGCAAGTTGGATTAGCCTTTACAGATATTTAAAGATAAAAAATGAATCAGATCATTTGATATTTGTGATTGAAAGCATGTTGATAGTCACTGGGCAACGTATAGAGGTATTTACTGCCATCCAGGGAAAGAAATATGAACCTAGACTTATTGATTGTGGACTGTACATTAATTAAATGTTTTTAATCCATATCTGCAAATCTAATGAACAATCTCGAATAGGTCAACATTACCTGAGCATCTTCTATTAAAAACAATCGCATTCGCAATATTTTCGGATTTTCTGCTAACCAATTTCAAGCCTTTAAATTGCTAACTTCCGTGTGGTAAAAGGTGAGCTTTTGCATTAAATAATACCTAGGTATCATTATATGAAAATATTAGTAAATGCAAATTCATTTAAATAGTTTTAATTTAATAAGTTCCTAAGTGAAGTTCGTAGAATCACAAATAACTGAGTCAAATGAACATATTCATTATTGTCTGCTTTATCGGGAGATTCCTTCAAAACAAATACAAGTGGCCTAGACGTTGTAAATTTAAGTAATAACAAAGGCCTTGTCTCGAATTGTATTAGCTAATTAATTCAACTTCCTTAGAATGTGAATTTTTAAGTTGGATTTGTCATCTAGGAAAACTGAGACAGAGATTCGATTTATTATATGAATTGGAATCAAATGAAAAAATCTTTTCTTAAAAATCGATGATTACATTTTTGTTAATTAATTAAAATAATTTTTATTAGTAATCAATTAATATGCTCTTGAATATTTAAAATAGTAGAGACGGAAAGAAGTTCAATTGCTTTATTGTGACATCACTGTCATATGGAGCCTTGTTCACTAGGCAATTTCCAAGCGTCCGATTCAGCTTTTACTTTCATATAGAGGGATTCAATTAAATTCCTAATTACTAATCGGAGTGAAATTTGTTCACTCACTTTCTATTTTACTTATACTTGTTCAAATGCGGCAAAAAGTCTATAAGCCGTCAGTTGACTTCTGACTTCAAACTACCACGACCCGACTGTATGCCATATTCGACTACTTCCACAGTACTCACATCACCTTGCCTTTTTCTCTACCTATGTGTCTGTCTGTCTCTCTTACATCTGTGAACCACTCTTCTGTTTCCACTCTCGACTTTTTGTGACTTTATCTCTTTTCCTCTCTGTTAAAGGACTAATGATAAGTATCATAATACGTGCCATTTGATATAAATAAATATTGATTTGTTCATTGGTAATAAGGCATTCTTATTCTCCAATATGCCATAATATTTCAAATCATTACTTTATTTCCGTGAATTAAACACAAATAACTCAGTGAATTTAAATCCAGCTAGTTTATCTTCTCATTTTTTCCTGAGAAGGTAGAATTTCTTATTAAAATTTCTGAAGATATTGCAAAAACACTAAATTAGGGTTTTATTACTTGTAACCGCAAACCCATTTATAACACAAATATACCTGTTCTTAAGAGTTTATTAATCTGAGAGTGCGTTTTATTTTATTTCTTTTTCGGAATTTTATGCAATTCGGTGGATATGTTGAGAAGTGCGTTTAATTTTGTATTTTTAAGTTTCATTGTACACCAAGTATAAGCTTTGACAAACACCATAATTGAGACCTAAAGAAAAAACCTGCTTCACGTAGTTCATTTTCCAATATATAGGCAATTTGAATGGAGCGATACAAAGTTGTTACGCATAAAAGCACTACGTTTTACCCATTAATATTGAAAAAACCCTAATGAAATATTAAATCAGTGATTGAAAAGATCTCTACGAAATAGTAGCCAAACTCTAGAAGCGCAATATGTGGGACTCCAAATAGAATAATTAATTGTCACTTTTTAACTTTTCGCTCCTACCAATCCTCCCATTTTCCTGGCGAATTGCTCGAGGAAAATAAGCTTTTTATCACATTCGAATTATAAATAAAATAAATATAGTTAATTGCTCTCCAGACATCCAGCTAATGCTATCACTGTTAGCTAATTGCACGACTGAAATTATGAATATCCACAACCATGTGATGACTGCAATCACATGCATAGAAGTCTGCGATTAATTGTTGTGTGTTGGTCGAAAAAAGAAGTGCCTAGTATCGTTGAATTATATTCCCTCAATAACATCGTTAATTGTCTGAAAGATTACGACGCCGTTTAATAGTACAAAAGCGGCTGAGTAACGTGCATGATTTTACACAACTTGACATTCCCAACAGAATGCTTCCACTAATCATAACAAAGTGTAATAATAAAGTACAACTTTAAGTAGAGACGATGGAACTAAGTCGAACCGGCAAATTTTGTTAATTAACTTTGAAAAATGCGTAAATCGCTTTTTTTTGCCCAAAATAGGGAAAAAGCGTTGATCTGGAGTTCGCTTATTTCTGTTTCCTTAGGGCTATCAATGGCCTATCTTACAACATATCAATGTTTATAGTACATTTAATGTCTAGGATTGGCCAATAAAAACAGTATGGCAGTATCTATTTAAAGGTGAAATAGTTTTGCTCTTCTATGCTGAGTTGCCGTAGTATTTAATAGCTTAAAATTATCTCAAAAGGGGCCAACGTAGTCAAATTTAATGGACAGAAACGCATATATATATATATATATATATATAGTTATATATATATTGAAAAACCTAGGTAGCTGCAACACATGCTGTAATTAGGTTGACTGATGGCGCCTGATAGACGAATATTGCGATGATAATCACAGGTGTTTAGTTCATTGAAAACTTTTTTCATATAGACGTCCGTATTTTACGGTTTAAAATAAATGTAAAATCGACCGTCATTCTGTTGTTTATTATATAACATGGTTCATAAAGTAAGTGTGCTAATTTGCTATACTCTTTTCTATTTGCTACTTCTCTTGGGATTTGAAGTGCAGGAGAACCGGACATTTCTAAAATCTATCAAAATGCCATTTAATTGATCTTATCTTATTTGACATGTTTCATAGTGTAAGCTAAAAAACTGTCATTTTAGTCCTTGCTAATCAAGATGTCACATGAATTTAATGACTCTGTGTCAACCCTAATAATTCTTCAAATATGTTGTATTTTCCTTGAGAAAATTGAAATTTAATAAAATTATTTTGGTAAATATATAAATCAAATATTACAAAAGAAGTTGCAATGCCTTATTATTAC